TGTGTTCACGGTGCACGATACTATACTGAGCATGGGCGTTTCCCAGCGTCCACATATTTCTAGCAACGTGTCCTCGCCAATAACCTTTAACAAACTTCTTTTAATACACTTCTAAATACCTGAACTGCTCATACACTTACCTATCCATGTTAGATGATCTCAATTACATGAGAAAATGTAGTGTCCAACGATATTCCATATTTCAGCAAACCTATGGCTATTTTTTTGCACTGCTAAACTTCCTTCGCATGATGAACAGTAAATAAGCATGATGAACATGAGTTTAATATGAGTTTAATTTAATAGACAACTCAACAAAATTTCTAAGTAACTTGGCAAAGGAAATCAAAGGAAAAAGTATTTTAAAAAAGTATATATATATATTGAAAGATGTGTTTGTGTTTGCTTACGTTCTTCAGGATTTGCTTCCATTTTTCAGTGTTGTAGTACGCATGTGAGAGAAGAAGACCGCTCATCCCCGAAAATTTGCCCTGGCTGAAAAGCTCCCTTGAGATCTCAATATAAACTTCCTTACACTTTTCAACTGGTAACCTCTTAGCAGCGAGTAATGTACCGATAATAGCTCCAGTACTTACACCCACGATTAGATCGAACACTTCGACAACCTGAAAAGATATTTCGCAATTACTAGGGTACAAATAAAACGGCCCCTCTATGATCATCTACGTTACATCTTACAACCGAAGATGATAAATAAAAGAGCCAAAAAAAAAAGAGACCTCAATAAGAATTCAAAAGCTAACCTTTGATCCCTTCAAATTATTTTCCAGCGCTTGCAAAACATCTAGGCCTAATACACCTCGCGTACCTCCACCATCAAGTGACAATACTCGAATACCAGCCCCACGAGGAATGCTAACATCACCCACGAGATGTAAAAACTGCCGAACATGTTCTTTTAGCATTTCATCATTAGTCCGCGGTAGAAGAACTTTCAACTTCTTGATAACTGAATCATGGAACTGAATAAACAAATAAATGATTTCTTTCCTAAAATAAATAAATGAACAAATAAATGATTTCTTTCCTAAAA